AATTCAAATCACAAATAATACTACTGATGAAAAAGAACGGGTTGAATGTTAACCACTTTCGTTTCCATATAACTATAAACTATGATAAAAGTTCATCAGCATGCACTGAATAATCCCATGTTGTAGCGCAAAAAAAATAAATAAAAAAATAAATATTGCGACCAGCTGAGAAAGTGTGCTTGTGACACCAGCTGAGAAAGTTAGTTGCAAAAGAGCAACCAGTGAGAAGAATGAGTCTGGAGCCCTGATATGCATTAGACAGAGGCAAGAGGAAAAGAAAAAATACCATCGAAAGACAGTAAGTTCAGACATACATTCATATAAACTCCTACCCCTAAATGAATCGCAATTTGTTTAGCATCTCAACCGATTTGAATCGTCACATATTTGAATAGATTCTCAACCGGCTCGCGGTTAATCGTTACATCCCTAATATCCCAGTAATATTCATGCTAATAACCAACTGGTTAATAGTGAGAATTGGACACTAAAGTGTTACCAATATTCTTATTAACTCACCAAAATATTTAAAGTGAGAAGGGTACATAAAAGCATGCATTAGACTTTACATTTTTACGTTAAATCCACTATTGTATTGCATATAAATGTTCTAGAGTCTATACACAGCATTAAGTTCAATTACATAAGAAGTAACTGTAACTAATTAAATTACAGAAAAAATAAGAGTAATCCCATACTTTTTCAAGGGAAAAGTAATTAAATTACAGTAACTAATTACTTAGTAACTAATTACACCCAACACTGATTGACACAAGTGTGGATGTTGTCCAAGTTGGCACGGGGACCACTAAACACCTCCCTAGTCTCAGTGGAAGCGATAAACACAACCCGCCATTTTTCACAAGGCTTTGAGTGGACGCGCAAGACTGGAGTTTTGAAGTTTCTCTCTCACAAGTGCTTGCTAGATTTGATAGATGACTTTTTTCACCCATTTTTTGGTACACCAGGCAGAGGTTGGTTTGTCTGACCATTTTGAAAAGTAGTTGCACAATTTGTGGTATGATTTTTTTGCGTAACTGTATCGTTTGAGTTTTGTGCTAAAGTTGTCTGGTGCTTTGCCTAATCATAACCACTATCACTAAATGTGTGGTTCTTGGCTGTGATGCTGCAGAAATTAGATTGTTTAATTTCTTGCTGTGCTGGATGATTTTAATAACAGGTGGTGTCAGACTTATGATACAGACACATACTGATTTATTATTAGTTTGCAGAGATGTGTATCTTCATCTGTCAGTATTCTACACATTGTGAATGGGTGATTTGTGACTAGCTGTTAGGTGAGTCAGGGCTTGTTAAGGGCTTATGAGAGATTTGTCAAGGTTTACCTGAAACAGAAAGTCACATGTGAATAGATCAGTCAGCAGTTCTGCACCATCACTGTTCTCTTTTTTTTATATATATTTTTTTTTATCTCAACTCCAAAACACCAGCATTTTGTCTGATCCAGCATTTGTGGTTTCACAGGCTGGTCCAATCTCTTTTTTTACTTGTCTCTTGCAGTGCACTTATACTCTCTAGCTCTCTCTACTAATCTACTCAGTGGGAAGCTGGGATAGCTTATAGCCAGTGCTGGACACTGAGTGGACACCACAACGTTTTTAACTCCCTATGTTCTTAAACACCTATATTTGGACATAGAAGCCTTATCCTTTGAAACATAGGACTAATGTATATGTGCATAATAAAATCTTGACCTCTCATAATAATATAAATATTATATCTAAATTACAATTTATTCTAATAAATTCCCTCGTAGTGGTGAGAAGATTAAACTTGTTAATACAAATACTTGCAAAGCTAACATGGTTTAAATAAATGTAACAGTTGTTTTTCCACTTTAAATCACGTTTCTAATTACTTTTAGGTGGCAAGAGTAGTTAATTGTCTTTTGTACATTTGTTATAAAATGTGTGCATATAACCCACCCAGTTGTGGAATATTTTAGATTTGATGGTTGAAATTAATTTTCTCTCTTCTCTTATGCAGGGTTATGATGTTTGAAGACAAAGCTAACGGGGCCAGCTGTAAAGCCGGTGGACCCCCTCCCAAGCGTGACATCACCAGCCTGCCATAGACCAGTGGAGATGGATTTGATTGACATCCCTGCATTCGCAAATCCCGCCCATTTAACATTAGGGGCAAGGTTTCTATAGCCTTACCTAGAAGCTTTTTGCCAAGATCCAGGGAAAATCTTAGTTCATAGACAGAGAAAATGAAGAAAAAAAAGGTGAAAGATGTCTATATATATTTGCTGTGAAGAAGTCGAAGTGCAAAGTAGCTTTTTATAAGTAAACAAATGTATATATTTATATGAAAATTATATGTGTTTTTGAATCGTGTTTACAAGCACAAATCCTGTGGGTGAAGTACTAGTGAAGTTTAGTGTGTAACACTGCAAGTGTACTAAGTATAGGGTGTACGGGATGACACAATTTTAGCTTGCAAGGCAGAATTTAAGAATTAAGATTGAGAATTAAGATTTTTCGTCTTCCCCCATAATGTGTGATCTTATTTTTTCATTTCAGTACGTTCGTGTTTGCCATTCGAGTCGCTTGAAGAGTTCTTTTAACTTATGCTTAACACCGAGTCCTATAGTGTGACATCATAGATGTGCGTGAGGTTCTTTTAAGATTCAGTTAGTGCTCAGCCATGAAAAAGCTTTTCATTTAGCTTGATCTGCTTCTAAAAGCAGGATTTCCTTTGTAACATTTCTGTACAGGAAGGCGCAGGGAGTGAGAACGCTGGGATTTGAGTGAGGGAGAAGGCAAAAAGGGACGACCGTTTATTACTCAAACTTTCTTTGCTCATTCTCTCTGTCCCTTTTTTACTTTCCACAGTCTTCAGACTGTTTCTTTTTAACCTGTTTGTATGCGTCCAAATGATCGTAATCTATAACCTTACTGTACCGTATAAGCACATTAACTGTTAAGTACACACATATTGTGCAGATATGCTTTGAATCACAATTTTAGGATATGCTTTTATAAATTCTCCTGCTTGAATTGGAAATGATGTTGTAGGAAAGATGTGTCGCTGATCGTCACTTTTTAGATCCGCAGCAGGGTTGATTTTAGTCACTATAGCCGATTAGTTTGAATCCCCTCTTTCCAAGTGCCTCACTCAGTTTGATGTAGCAGAGGTTTTGAGTGGTGATTGAGTGAAGCATCTTTGAAACAGATTTTGTGTGTGTGTGTGTGTGTGTGCGCGCGTGTGCTTGGAATTTATATTCTGTTGAGTCGTATTCTGAGACATTCCAAGAATGTCGTTGTGTGGTGGAGTCCTTGGAAATGTTGTCATGTTTTAACCCAAGCAGACTTACATGTTGTGCAGCTCTGATGCGAATATTCCAGTAGTGCTTTTGTCCTTTTTTTAATTTTACACTGTCCTCATCAAGTTTTCTTTCTATAAGATGTGCTACGTATGGAAAACAAAATTATCTCATGATGAGTTTTTTTTTTTTTTTTTAAGATTAAGATGATGAAATTACATCACTCGGCAGTAGCAGGTGTGGCTTTCACTTCCATTTCAGACTTCATCTGCAAACTAAGCAACTTTTATTTGTTTCTGTCACATGTTTTCTGGGTTTTATTTCTGTGCCTCTGTTCAAGTTTATCTCGTTGACATGCTTTTATTTTCCTTTTAAAATCAGTGAAGTGTGAATTGAGGGCTGCACTGTATTGCTATTTATTAGAAATGCATTTTTAATGAGTTATTAGAATTATGAATAGTTTTCTGTCAGCATATTAATTAGCAGAGGCATTTGTAAACTTTTTTCTTTTCATTTTTTGGCTAACACCAAAGGAAGTAAATACCCTACTGTTACACCTGAACTATCAGTGGAGCTCTTTTATTTACGTCTATGTGTGTACTACATATAATTGTCCCACCAGAATTGTGCAAAATGTGGCACAACCTCAGTTTGGGGACATTTAGGTATGTCCTAATTTGTGAAAAACTATTATAAAGTAGATTTTGTTCTTACAATCTTTCATATCACTAAATATGTGAGTCAGTGTGTGTTAGGAAGTGTGGGGTCAGTACGATTTATTTATTTAAAAAAAATATAAAATCATTCAGCAAGGACACATTAATCAAAAGTGACAGTAAAGACGTGATGCTACACACGATTTCTATTTCAATAAATGCTGTTTCTATTCATCACAGAATCAAGAAAATAATATATCATGGTTTCAACAAAAAATATTAAGCAGCACAGCTGTTTTCAACTTTGATAAGAAATGTTTCTTGAGCAGCAAATCATATTAGTATGATTTCTGAAGGATCATGTGACACTGAAGACTGGAGTAATGGCTGCTAAAATTCAGCTTTGCATCACATGAACAAATTACATTTTAAAATACATTAAAATAGAAAACACATTTTAAATTGTAATAATATTTTACTATATTACTGTACAAATGCATTCAAAAATAAACATCTCACTAACCTTAACTTTTTAATGGAAGTGGTCTATTAATAATTAAAAACCTTTATGTAAACAAAACAGAAGTAATTTCTCACCATTTAGAGAAGTAAACTAAGCTAAGTAAATGTGTTTACTTGGATTTCCAATGTAAAACTTATCAGTAATAATTTAGTCCAGCACAAAAGTTAGTCTGTAACAATATGCTTTCAGCCACCTTTTGAGTACTTTCTCGCTGTGTGTGTAGTCTATAATGGTCAAACAGTCCTAATGGAAACCACAGATTCATGAAGAGATGGAAGCCATGATAACCCGCATATGCACATAAATAACGCATGGTCTTAATCTGTAGCCTGCGAAACTAGCATGTTCAAAAATATGTTTGTGGGTATGATAATTGCCACAATTAGATATTATGTCTAGGGTTTTGTTTGTGACACCTTGTTTTTTGCTGTGTGTGTGTAGGTTTGGTGATTTTTCAAACAATTTAAGCTTGAAAGATGGGAATGAAAACCTCTTTAATTACATTAAGGTTTTGTAAACCACTTCACTTACCTGTTATTGTTAACATTAAAAAAAAAAGTTATTTTGAGGCTTTTCCAGAATAATGATAGTAAAGAGGATCTTTTCATAAGTGTAAACTCAGTGGTCCGGTTCACTTCCTCATTAGACTTCTGCATTACAGATCTCAATAGAAGTGGCCTTGTTCTCACCCACAACTCAGTTCTTCATACAGCTTGTAAATATATTTGAAACAAAATTTTAGACGGTAATTCCTCCTCCACATAGGTAAACAGCAGGTCAACGTGTCACTCTATCTCTGTCAATTGCAATCTGCTGCTCTTTATCTCTCTTCCCCATACTGCCTGAGGGACAACACGTACTGACACAAAAAGGACATTTACCAAACCGTGTAACACTGACCTTTGCAATAAAATAACAAACAGAGCTAGGACAGACCGATTAAAAAGTTCCGCATTACCAGCAATTTTATATGAAATTATTAGTACTGTATTCGTGCTGTTTACACTGCTAGTCAGTTTAAAGAGTATAGAAATAGAAGTTATTTGGTCAGTTGCAAAGGTTTGTGCGAGAGTCGTCGTGATGGACTGTGTTTCCCCCTACTGGGGTCAAATGGTAAAGCACAGCATGCCACTTCTAAACGTTCACAAACAAATGACATGTGACAAATGAACCCTACCCAAATAAAAGAACAAGCAAAAAAAAAAAAAAAACTTTTCCCAGATCACATCTGTATTAAGTGTAGCAATCACCCCTCGGTATCAGTCTTATCGATTGTAAATACACGTAGGCTAAACTATATTGGCGTACTTAAACTTTTATAGAATTACGACATGTATTAATACACACACACACACTAATATACATATAATATATACAGAAACATAAACGAACTGTAATATTCCGGGGCTAACCCGCCGAATAAACGTTAATTATGAAGTTGCTAGTTTTTAAATGTATATAAAATATGAAGTTACTTTAATTATGGACTTACTAGTTTTTAATTGTATATACATTTGACTTCATAATTAATGCTTATTCGGCGGGTTAACCCCGGAATACCTTACCGTTCATTCATGTTTCTGTCGGACTTATTTACAGACGCACCAAAACGTGTGCGTTCACAAACTGTCGCCGACTGCAGCGATTCTAAAAAGCTGTTGAAAACGAACAGTTTTACCGTGTTTAACATGTTGCCAGTGGGAAATGGAAACGATACGAGTTTGTTTTAGATGTATTTTGTTTTATCGTGTCGTGACTGAGATTCGACCCATAGGTGCAAGCGTTACGATGAATTTAATGTCCAGTCTGATCTCAACGTGACTTTGAGCAAGCACAGCAGTCATGTGTCATACTGTACAACTGAAGCTGTAACCCTTTAATCAAACATTCCGTCTTAAAATGCATTTAAATGTACCGTTCCCCATCCTCCGAGGGGTAAGTTTGTGCTGTTGATTGTCTGTCTTTAATGCATCAGATCTATAGGCATTTGTCATTGACTGTAATTTACCAATAGTATAATAATAATAATTTAACAATACTTTCCGCCAAAATGCCATGGCTACTACAGTAAATCCTTGTTTAAAGCGACTACTGTTTTAAAAGGATGGTGAATCTATTTAAATAACATCTCATACACTTAGATTAGTGTTTTACCGCTTTAACTGCATCATTCATTCCCTTTCAGAGCATCAGACACCTGATGACCAGATCCTCACAGACGTGCAGAGGCAGAGTGACTTGGAGGAGAAATTACAGTTTTTATCGAGGTGAAGGACGATAGTGGATAGTTACAGAGTTCTGCATATTTTGTAATTTTAGACTAGTGCCTTACTGTTCACAACTTTTTTTTTCTTCCTTCAGATGAGGTGAAATCACTTAGAGCAGTGGTCAACCCTGACATCTCAAAGTAAGATATGACCGTCCATGTGAGCATATTTTTTTACAATATCCTTTTGAGCGTGTAAGAATAATAATGGCCTATTAATACCAAATGTTTCTATAATGTTCTTGGTCAGAATTCGTAACATAGGTATCATGGCGCATATAGATGCAGGGAAGACCACCACGACAGAGAGAATGCTGTACTTCTCTGGCTACACACGGGCTCTCGGAGGTGAGGTGACATTTAGAAAAAGTTGATGAAGAATATCTGATTATCATTAATTGAAAATAAAAGCTGAATAATATGAAATAAGTATGATGACATTAATTATATAAGTATTCAATAATAATGTAATATTATGAAATGAATTAATCTAATAGTAAATAAATATTAAATGGAAAAACTTACATTTAAAAACAGTAAACTGAAATTAACTCATTTTAAATTGAAGTACTAAAATAATTCAATCTGAAATAAAAAGTAATGCTATACTGAACAAAATTATAAACGCAACACTTTTGTTTTTGCCCCCATTTTTCATGAGCTGAACTCAAAGATCTAAGACTTTTTCTATGTACACAAAAGGCCTATTTCTCTCAAATATTGTTCACAAATCTGTCTATATCTGTGTTAGTGAGCACTTCTCCTTTGCCGAGATAATCCATCCACCTCACAGGTGTGGCATATCAAGATGCTGATTAGACAGCATGATTATTGCACAGGTGTGCCTTAGGCTGGCCACAATAAAAGGCCACTCTAAAATGTGCAGTTTTATCACACAGCTCAATGCCACAGATGTCGCAAGTTTTGAGGGAGCGTGCAATTGGCATGCTGACTGCAGGAATGTCCACCAGAGCTGTTGAATTGAATGTTAATTTCTCTACCATAAGCCGTGTCCAAAGGCGTTTCAGAGAATTTGGCAGTACATCTAACCGGCCTCACAACCGCAGACCACGTGTAACCACACCAGCCCAGGACCTCCACATCCAGCATCTTCACCTCCAAGATCATCTGAGACCAGCCACCCGGACAGCTGCTGCAACAATCGGTTTGCATAACCAAAGAATTTCTGCACAAACTGTCAGAAACCGTCTCAGGGAAGCTCATCTGCATGCTCGTCGTCCTCATCGGGGTTTCGACCTGACTGCAGTTCGTCGTCGTAACCGATTTGAGTGGGCAAATGCTCACATTCGTGAGCGTCAGGCACTTTGGAAATGTTTTTAAAGAAGTCTCTTCTGCTCATCAAGACTGCATTTATTTGATCAAAAATACAGAAAAAAAACAGTAATTTTGTGAAATATTTTTATAATTTAAAATAACTCTTTTCTATGTGAATGTACTTTAAAATCTAATTTATTCATGTGATAAAAGCTGAATTTTCAGTATCATTACTCCAGTCTTCAGTGTCACACATGATCCTTAAGAAATCATTCTAACATGCTAATTCATAATCAGTGATTGAAACAGTTGTGCTACTTAATATTTCTTTGGAACCTGTTATGCTTTTGTCAGGTTTTTTGATGAATAAAAAGTTCAAAAAGAACAGCATTTATTTAAAATAGAAATCTTTTGTAACAATAGAAGTCTTTACTGTCACTTTGTCAATTTAGCACATCTTTGCTGAATCCAATAAAATAAAAGAGTAAAGACTATTAATTTCTTATATATAAAAATATATATTATAAATATGTATATTTAAATAGAATCTATGAATTATCTTTCTTTTCTCAGGTCATGTTGATTTTACTCTGGAGGTTGAGAGAGCTTTACGAGTGTTGGATGGAGCAGTTGCTGTGTTTGATGCTTCTGCTGGAGTAGAGGTTTGGCAGAAGTTATTTGTAGTAAAAATAATAAATCATAATATAAATAAATTATTCATTAAATTAATGTATATTAATTATTAATGTATTTGAATTGGTAATACAATTGTAATGGCAACATATTTTCTTTAAATATATTTAGTGTTGTGTGGAAGCTCTCTGAAAAATAAAGGGGTTCAACCTCTGCTGGATGCCATTACTGCTTACCTTCCTGCCCCCAATGAGAGGAACCATGACCTAGTGTGAGTGCACCATCCCTCAGCCCCCTCATCAACTCATTTTGCTAAAGGAGAATAAATCATGTTATGATTCATTTATATGTGTTCCTGTCTGTCCAGACGCTGGTATAAGGATGATCTGTGTGCGTTGGCATTCAAAGTGGTCCATGACAAACAGAGGGGTCCACTCGTGTTTGTTAGGATCTATTCAGGAAGCATGAAGGCTCAGTCAGCAGTGTATAACATCAACAGGAACGGAACGTAGGTTTATTCTTTTTGATTTCAGCCTTGTATGCAGTTATAATGAGTCCAATGCCAGATTTTTCTTTGTTCCTCTTAAAAAATAAATGACTTGTGAATTTTTATTACTTCTGCAGCTTTTTACTTTTGCTCTTTCATTTGTTGTGGAAAACACAACACACACACTCAAAAAGAAAGGCTATTACTATGGTGTAGGGGTGTCACGATATACCGGTATTGACGATAATCGTGATGGAACAATGTTTTGTGTTTTTGTTGCTCCAGGGAAAGAATGAGTCGACTTCTCTTGCCTTTTGCCGATCAGCACATAGAAATTCCTTCTTTATCTGCGGGAAACATTGCACTCACGGTTGGACTCAAACAGGTAAACTCAACTTTCATGGGACAAAGAAAACTATGTGTTGTTTACATGATCGTTTGAACTGCTTTGAGAGGAAAATACTCATGTAGGATCCTTCAAAGTGACTTGTAGTATTCGATTGGTCTTGTGATTTAAAACAGAAATAGCAGCTACCGTTAGTGGTACCACTCTTATGTAGACTGAAGATGCTTTTTTTTTTAAGATATATTTTTGGCTTTTTTTTTGCCTGTATTACAATAGGACAGTTAAGATCTGAGGAAGCAATGTGGGAGGAGGGGGGGCGAAATAGAGAAAGGTCCGAGAGCCTTTGAACTCGGGATGCCCATGAGGCTATCAGTGTCGTCATACAGATGCTTTTTCTTGCCAGCTTATAGGTCTGGAGTCTTCATGTGATGCATTACACATCTTTAGAAAATAATATATTCTATCATTTTGTTTGTTTCAAATCAGACCGTGACAGGCGACACCATCGTCTCCTCCAAAGCCTCTTCTGCAGCTGCGGTGCGGCGGGCTCAGAAGGAAGCAGAGAGCAAGAGTAGCTCACAAAGGGAGAGCAGCAGTCTGGCTCTTGCAGGGGTGGAGGTCCCTGAGCCTGTGTTCTTCTGCTCCATTGAACCTCCTACTCTGGCCAAACAAGCAGGTAAGAACACTGTGAACAGATCTTCAGCAGATCACTTTCCAAATAGGCTGCAGCCTATTTCAATAGGATTGAAATCTCAGTGGGATTTGTCAAACAGATCTGGAGCATGCGCTCAACTGCCTGCAAAGAGAAGACCCCAGTCTGAAAGTCAGAACAGACCTTGATTCTGGACAGGTAAATGAGTCATTTACAAAGTATTTCATCTTTGAAAGTGTTTTGTCTATTAGAATGTTGCATTCTGTTTATTAGTGCTTGCATAGGCATGTACATATTTACATATTAAGTACGTATTTACTTGTTCAAACAAGCTTAGTGCTTAGAAAAAATGTCTTGCACAAATATTACATTGTGACACGTAACTGATCCTGCACCATTTGTGCTGCGGACATCAGATACCCTTGAATCTTGTGTTGAGGAGAGAAGTGCTTGTGTTCCGCAATGTATTTTTCACTTATTCATGCACAGACGATACTGTGTGGCATGGGAGAGCTGCACATTGAGATCATCCATGACCGTATTAAGAGAGAGTTCAACATCGAAACTCACCTAGGACCCTTGCAGGTGGCCTACAGAGAGACCATCCTCCAATCAGCAACTGCCACAGGTGAGGCTAGTGCGAACTCTCCCCTCGTGTTTTATATGTATGTGAAAATCATCTTACTTTGTTTGTGATGAAACATCAGAACTATTTCCCAATGACAGGTCATCTGTTTTGTTTGTCTGCTTTACTGTTTTATGGTCCAGTGCGACTTATGGTTACAATAGACTTTGTCCATGGTAAAAAAAAAAAAAAATTGGCATAAAACAATAAAATGAAAAAGAAAACAACATATATGACTAGTCACATGCCCTGATTTAGTGTAGGTTCAAGGGTGTAGGCTGTTTTAATGTTTTTATTTTTATATAAAATTAAAATATGAAGAAATACTAAGAAACTAACATGCCTATATTTCTACACAGAACAAACTGAAATGGTAAAATGGATTATAATATCAAATAATACAGTATTTATTCGGAGTAGATACGTATTAGTAAATTTCAGTATGATTTGTATGATCATTTCAGACACATTAGATCGTACTCTTGGAGACAAGAGGCATGTTGTTACTGTGGAGCTCGACGTCCATGCTCTGATGGAGTCTAGCACTTCCTGTGACATGACTTTTGAGGAGGAAGTAAAAACTCAGCTTTCTGCGGGTGTCAGAGAAGCTGTGGAAAATGGCGTTCAGAGCGCATACCTCCAAGGTAACAGAAATGGATGCTTAAAAGCTTTTATGCCTGAATCATTCATCACATCTATATCTTCCTGGTACAGTATTGCAGTCTATAAATCTGATGTCTATGTCAGCCATATGCTGTTGGTAAACCAACTCCCTTTCCAGGTCCTGTGCTGGGTTTTCCTGTAGAGGGAGTAAAGACCGTTATCCAGCATGTAAGTTTGGAGTCAGGCACTTCTGCAGCCATGGTGTCAGCCTGCGTGTCCCGCTGCATGCTCAAGGTACTCAAACACTGTCCTGTGCCTTTTCCCACAATCACTTTCAAATAATGCCACATCTGAGTTTATGTCCTTCTGGTTCAGGCTCTGAAGCTGGCTGGGGGGCAGGTTTTGGAGCCGGTGATGGCTCTGGAAGTGACTGTAGGTGAAGAGTATCTGAGTCCTGTGCTTGCAGATCTCGCCCAGCGACGCGGTACTGTATGCGACATCCAAAGTCGACAGGAAAACAAGGTTTTGCTGGCTACAGTACCTTTGGCTGAGATGATGGTGAGTCTTTCATTAAAAATATTACAATGATATATATTATTATTGATAAATATTACATGTCAGCACAATTTACTGCAAGTTAATCTCTATGTATAATAAGGCCAATAAAATGTAACTCTCACCACGTGATTACTACAAGTGAACTATGCTGAAATGATTTTTATATTTATTTATTTCCTTCAAGGGCTACTCAACCGTTCTGCGCACTTTGACCTCTGGGAACGCTACTTTTTCTCTGGAGCTTTCCAGCTATGAGCCTATGAACACTCAGGACCAGAATATACTGCTCAACAAGATGGCTGGACTGGCTTAAAACATTAACTTTCACCAACTGAACTGGGCAGTGTTTCCCAAAAGCATCGAAAGCTTAAGTACACCGTAGACCCATTGAAACCAGTGGAGCTACAGTCAACTTAAGCTTACGATGCTTTTTGGGAAACGCAGCCCTGAACATTTATACAGACACAAATTTTGATTGCTATGATTGGCTGCTCACATTTAGTCCAGAAGATAAAATCTTGGAGACTAGCCTACATCTCCTGCTCAGCCCACATCCAGAGACCTAATTGGATTTTTTTTTTCTCTGATGAAGAGAAGAGTGTAAGGTAAAAAAAAAAAACACTTACTGGTGTTTGTGTGTACATGTATATAAAATATACCAATAATTTTACAAGAACAATGCATTCATAAATGTTTTTAAAATATTTATTTCATTTATAAAACCCTTACGACATGCCTAGCCTTGGGAAATCATTAAAAAGCAGACCTCGTTTCAAAAACTTCAAATTCAGTCAAATTTAGAATAGTAATGAGTTTAATCAAATTTAAGCCTACAGAGGAAATTGAGATGTACAGAATTGTCCATTTGCAAACATCAAGTTCTGGCAATAACTGGCTCAGTGCATAGAACAGCAAATCATAGTTACTGGTATGGTTAACATGGTTTTATCTTTTAAAAAGTGTTGTCCTTTTATTCCCTTTAATTGTCTACTGTGAACTGAATGTTGAATTTCATAGGCCCATGTACTCCTGACGGCAGTGGCCAACAAATAGAGGTTCTGCAGGTATGCCTCTCCTGATGGGGAAAGAGGGGAAAATCTCACTTTCACCAGTGAAACATACAAAAATATGCCTGTGCAAATTTTATTTGCAAAAGCAAATTATTTGTACAAAGACTGTACCGAATACTTTTTACATTTTCAAAATCTTCCCAATCGACCCAAAACAGACAGCCTTAAATTATTCGAAAGAAATAATATTGTTATAAATTAATCTATAAATAAACAAAAATCAAGGCCATCAGAGATTAGGGAGGTCACCCCACTGCTAAGCATTTTGATTCTTACACATAAAATTGAATGAAATAGATCAATGGAACTGTATGCTGTATTATTGATTAAATAAGTTGAAGATTGCATTAATGAATTTGCCACTGTCATATTTGAACTCACTTGACCATGCGGCAGCGATGCTGGGCCAGACGATTATAGGCATTACCCACGTCTGTCACACTTTTATCACTCCATAACCTCTCGGCAACAGCACTGGCTCTTGGCCTGCAACGGCACAAGCAAACAAAAAAAATCATAATTTACATCATTCTAAATAAATACTAGGTTTGGTTCCTAACTTTATCTTTTATGTTTTACACATTACAAGACAGGAGATGGTACAGTTGAGTAATATATCATACCAGAGTCGAGGAGTGAGGTTGGTAGCATCCACATACTCTCCCCAAAGACAAGCCTCTCCACCAATCACCAGCTTCTTCTGTGCATCTGTGCCTGTGGTAAATTATCAATCACAAGTTATAAACAACAGCAAAAAAAATGAATACAACATTGTACAAAAAGCTGTCCCTCAAAGTAAAGAGTTGATCCTGTTTGAGTCTGATCTGTGTGCCAAACGCTCCTATATCAAACATCTAAATACCTGCAGACAAAGCAAACCATTTAAACTGGGTCGTGACCGAATAGACTCATAACTGTCAGTCTGTCCAAAGTGCCATGGTCACATGACAAGCATGCTTGTTTACATATCCAAATGAAAATGTCTTCCTAACAATGCCATTGCTATGACAAAGCTTTGGACTGGGAAAAAAAAAAAACTGATCCTCATTGATTTAAGGATATGAGAATATCTGGCGTAAATGACACTGTACAATCACATGCCACCTTTGTCATTTAAACATGTTGCCTTTGAATCAGTGTAGCTGACCTTCAAAATCTAAAACCATTTGTACCAACCTTGGTTACAGTAAACAAGACAATTAACCAGATTCATCCAATTACAGACTTCTCAACTCTTGTGTTCAAGAGAGGTCAACTCCAACATAGGTCAGAAAATCATGTATTGTATAATCAGTGCTGTTTAAAGTTACTTAACAGTCAGTTTTTTACTGTACACCTTGAGATGTTGTACAAATTTAGGAGAAGCACAATTCAAACAGAAACAGAGGCCCACAGACTTTCTCTGCGAATGACACACACACACCAGTGAAATTTTGGGGGTCGGCTTTGTAAATGTTCACCCAGTCTTGGCCGTAGCTGATGCGGTTGAGGTACCAGGGTGTGGAGAGCAGAGTATTGAAACCAGCCGCTGTTACCTTCGCCATCTCATCCTGGTACTGCGGCCTTTCTTTCCACACATGGATCTGTGTGTCGGCTTTCAGCTACATGTGTACACATACAGACGCATGTATAACACAAACGAACACACGTCAACGTGGATAAATCCCTCTGGACTCCATTTAAGGTCGCTGTGAGGCTTTTCATGCTTCATTCACATTTACATTGTCAAAGATACCAAGATTGCACATTTATGCAGATCTAGTCGCTAGTAGTCGTCATGAAAGAACTGAACATGGTTCATTTTAAAGTGACAAAAAATATGGATGTACAATATTTGGCATAAAATCAGCTGTAAAAAAATTATTATTGGCTATCAATATTGGCACATCCAAATATAATGCAATCAATATTCATAATAAGTTACGTTATAAATAATAGGTAAAAAATGTCAACACTACATCAGAAATTGTATTATGTTAGATCTTGAATGTAGTCCAGAGAAATATATCCATCTAGTGTCATATTTTCCTCGAAGGTCAGATGCTTAGTGACTCAGTCAACATGTCTTTCTCATTAGATCATTAGTTAATGGCCTTTAAACCTGACAACAGTTAACTATTATTCTATACAGTAACATCTACGAAGAACGAGGTAGAAATTTTTACTTTTTAGTAGTCGTATTAATTTAACAAGACTGAAGCAAGATGGAGGAGTTATTATGGCAAAGCATACACTACCATTCAAAAGTTTGGGGTCACTAAGGTTTTTTTAAGGTCAAAAGTGACAGTAAAGATATTTATGTTGCCAAAAAAAAAGTAAATGCTGTTCTTTTGATTTTTTTTATTCAAAGACTTCTGAATGATTATGACATTTAACAATATTGCTGCTTTTACTGTATTTCTGATCAAATAAACAGCCTTGGAGAGACTTCTTTCAAAATCTTTTTTTAAAACTCTTACCAGATCCAAACTTTTGAACGGTAGTGTATTTAAAGTGATACATGATGGAATGCGAGCTTTCCATAGCATTCAGGAACATGTGGTTTCAGTGTCTAAAACAACTGACCTCGAGATGTGGCAGGAGCTCAGAGTTGATCAGGAGTGCTCAAACACTCTGACATTACGTGGACATGACAATGTACAAGTGACGAGCAAAACCAAGATCCTGAGCCAGACTGACCGGATCACAACTATACACTACAATAATGCAGAAATTACAGGAAATTCTATATAATTAATATATGGTCGATGACAAGCGTATTTGTCCTCTATTAAAATGCAAGTGTTTCTCAGTGAACAAGCTCTACGCAGACCAAAGCCTCAACCCCCAAGCTTGTTTGTGATTCAAACACCATGTCAACTTGTCCATGGCTATTTTCAGGGCAAGAAACAGGTTAAGATGTAATTAAAGGTATAGTGATTGAAAAGGTTACTAATAACCATATTTAATTAAAACTGAATCTGAACTGACTTTCTTAACCCTAAGTTGCCAACATAGCATGTCAAAACCATCACACATAATTTAATGGTCAATACATGAGTAAACACTCAATAACTACAGTTTCTACGTTTGAAACCACTAGATTAGTAAACTAGTGGTGCTAAAATAAACAAAATTAGAGTTGGACTGCAGAAACTGACCAGGGAAATTGAGTGGCTCAACTTTGTAGTAGCGTTGCCAGTCCTGTCCATAGCTAATGTAGTCCAGGTACCAAGGGGCAGAAAGAATGGTTGTAAATCCTGCCCCAGTCACATTCTGTAGCTCCTCCTCCATCTTGTTCCCCATCCACACCTCCACCACAGTGTCATCCTTCAGCTGGAACATGCATAAAGCACATTATGTGCCCTAATCAATGTTTGTTTGTTTTTGGGGCTGTTATATTGTTACGGGCAATCATACATCTACATGCAAGCACAGTTAAAAACAGCAATTTAGTGGCATGTTAGCAGTGGCTTGTGAAAAGGCGAGCATGCAAGTCAAGCTATTTGTGATTAAGAAGGTTAAAGAAAAGTAGATTAGGCTTTGATTTGAAGTCACAAAGCATTTTGGACCTGCAAGAATGTGTCTTAATTTGTTTATAAAAGGTGGTTAAAGTAACGAAGACTGTTATATAACATTTATGGATTTACATTACTTCCCAACAGGACGAGCCCTTCAGCACAGAAGAGATGAGCCTTACCTTCACCCCATTATCAAACACTTCCTGCCACACCATGTAACCTTTCTTGGTAGCAGCCACAATATCAAGTAATCTGTTTTCCAAATATGAATAATACATAATGTTAGAATGTGTATTGATTAATATTTTCATTTACATTCTTCTGAGAATAAAAAACCGTCATAATAATCTGTAATTTAGACTACAAGACCACAATAAATGTATTACATTTACATTTAGCAGACGCTTTTATCCAAAGCGACTTACATGATAAAATTATGGGTTTGTTGAAACCACAAGCAGTTCTGTCTTAGCCAGGTTGAGTTGAAGGTGATGGTCCGTCATCCAACAGGAAATGTATTCCTGACTATAGTGAAGCTCTTACCTTTGAACGTAGAAAGACTCCAGTTTGCTGTAGTCTGTGCCAAAGCCCTGCTGCACCATAAACTTCTGAATATCAGGATTAGACTTCCTACAAAAACAATAAATGGAATGTAAGCATGGCCTTTAACAGTAACAGCTATCAACACAAAGTAAAGCAAATAGAAAAAGAGAAACAATACATGCCCTTACAAATTAGAAATTTGTAAGGGCATGTAAAATGTAATTTTCGGTTAGAAACAAACTGTTTCTGTATAACACTCAAGGTACCGTGTGACAGTTACAGTTATTTCTTTTAATCAAAGAATTTGATAAAAGAAAATAATTTTATATAAGGTAAGATTATTGGCATTACATTATTCAGATAAACAATGTAGTTTAATAATTGATGATTGAGTAGGAAGCTCCTTTTTTCTTACCAGCAACTGAAGTCAACCTCGTCTCCCCCCAGGTGAATGTAGGCATCAGGGAAGACAGTGCTAATCTCTTTAAAAAACTCTGTCATGAAGTCATAAGAGGAGTTTAAGATGGGGTTCACCGGCCCAAATGTTCCTGAAGGACTAGAGCCACTGTAACAAGGTGTTAGCAGATCCTTTATGCCTAAGGGAAAGAGCGACAGAGAGAGAAAACGTGTTTTCATATTAATCAGTAAGTGCAGTTTAAATGTGAACTACTGAAACCAACACAACATGACTTAAGGCTGGAATACACTATATGACTTGTTTACATTTGTCATGCATCTCCTAGCAATAAGGCATGTTTCTTTGCGAGTTAGCTCTGTGTTTGTTTCGACTTAAAAGTCATTTCTTTCTGTTCACATTTCAATAGTTGTGCAGTGTTATTCCAGCCCTAAACATGACTAAGCAAAACAATCTGCGAAAAGCTCATGTATCATGTCCACCAACTTACCATTGCCCCATGACCGTGTGTGTCCTGGGGTGTCAAACTCAGGGATGACTCGGATCCCCCTCATGCGGGCAAACTCGATGACCATCTTCACGTCAGATGGAGTGTACAC